TAAAATAATTGTTAGGGAAGACTTTGGGCCAAAAGTGATGGAACATATTGACTTCCATGATTTCAGTAGGTTTTGGGAGATCAGAAGCTTTTCTAAGTACTTTCGCTCGCGTTTAGTATGTATAGTATGTATAGCTCCTGTTTACTATGGGCTCGATCATTAACATATACAAGATAATGTAATAAGGTTCTATCTTAAAATCTGGTCCATAAAGGATGTTGAGAGGGCAGGTAGATTTCATCCACCAACTTGGTCGCATTAATTTATGGCCATGCATATGAATTAATGTGATAGGGACATCTGAATGCCATGTATCTCAAGTCAAGCCACAAGCAATTAATTGTTACGATGGGTGGGGTAGACGAATCGTACAATGATGTGACATGAAATTACTCGATCAAAACTAAATGTTCCAAAAGATGTGAGACCCAAATTTGTCGATCAAAATTTGTAAGATTACGCACAAAACTATTGTTGTTGTTATTGATGTGTGACCGACCATGGCGTGACTATCATCATCAGCTGGAATGGAAGCTTTCATTTCGAATTTTGTAATATGTTATCCTCACATTGCTGAGAATTCTTTTTTTCTCGCTTGATTGCGTAATTAAATTCCTCTTTTGTTGGAAAATTAATGTTAATAAAACATGCTTAAACCTCTAGATTTACTGGCTGTATTTATTTAGAGTTGTGTTCCTTTTTGTAAGATTTTGATTATTTGATTCGGATTCAATTGAGATCATTATTTATGTTTGTCGGACTTTAAGATTATTTGATTATTTGTCCCAATAAAACTCTTTCAAAATTTAAGTTAGTTTGTTATATAAAGAATTCAGTGAGTACCAAATCTATATAGATACAAAGTTAATAAAAATATTCAAAGAGTTGCAAGTGTATGGTATTGTACTAAACTATTATATTTGAGGTTATGGTTAAATGTTAAAAATGATTACACTCTTACTCGGTATATTTTGGTGGTCTGGACACGTCATTACTAACACCGCACGTTAAATCGGAGCCCTACGTCACTCGTCTCGTCCCAAGAGCTCGTACCAAGAAGATATGCCACACGTCCTGTTCTGGGAGCTCGGGGGTTACTAACTTGCTTGTCGGAGGGGTCACGATCGGGTACCACTCGATGGAGGCCATTTTTGCATGAGGGTGACCACTCATCGACGGTGAGGGACTCGGCATGGGAGCGCGATCCGCCTAGCACCAAGGAGTCGCCAATCAGCCCCGATCCCAACCATCGCCAACCAACACTCCTTCCCGAGAGTTCGGGTATCTCATCATCCAAGTCACCCTGTAGAAAATTCCCGACATCGGCCCATGGATCTAGTCGTGCTGACTCACCAGCCACGACATATCTGTTGTCTAACACTCCGATCATAAAAGCAATCATATATCACCGAAACTCGGAAGGTGTGGGTTAATGACTAATTGAGTTAGCTTCCTATTTTGATGATGTGATTAATTCTTCCGAGTTAACCTCTTACTTGGCATTACGTAAATTGATATATTGATTGAATGAGGTTGATGTGTCAACTAGGTGATGGTAATGTGTCAACGAAACGATAGTAACATGTTGGCTCGTAAATGATAAGGTATCGATTAGGTCATGATATATCGATCATATGAGGATGAACTATCGGCAACCATATTGTAATTTTGGTATCTTACTTTAAGAAACATAGTTTGATTAGTAAATAGTTTTTGAAGTAATATAATTTGAACTTTTGGAACAAAATTTTTAGCAGTATAACAAGTTGCTATCAATTATTTGAATTGCTTTCTCAAATGCTTTCTTTCATTTTTTTCATTTGTTTCTCTAATATATATATATATATATATATATATATGCACACACACGTGTGTGTGTAAAGTTCAACAACAACATATTGATCATTATTATCATAGTTTCCAATTTCATCTAGATTGATTCATATTAATCAGTGTATATGATTCTGACCACGAACTAGTATGCAATTCATTGTCATTTTGGATGGTTTTCTTGCAAGAAAAGCTATATTCGCCATCAAAAGGTTGCACGAAGTGCTCCTGTGTGTTGCCTCCTTTCACCTCTTCCTCCTCGATCATGAGCCTTCGAGAAGCTCATGTATTTTTTTTTTCGTCTATTGCCTCCACATTCATAACCTTCTCTTCCTCTACGATCTGAGAGCCCTCTTCTCCTATCTCATTGGATGATGCTCGTCTATCTACTAATGTCATCTGTCTGTCGCCTTCTCTTCCACCGCCTTCTTAATCGTAAGCCATCTTCCCTATCTCATCACTTGACTATCTCCTTTATTGTCTCATTGTCAAAAACTTAATTAAATTTATCTAAATCGATAGATATAATTGTGATATTGTATGAGGGTCAGCCTAAGTGCCACCTCGTGTAATAAAATAGATTAGTTTCTAAATCAAGTGACGAACAAGTCAACATCTAAAACAAAAATACAGTACATAAGCAATTCAATAAACATTTAAAAGGCAAAACGAATAAAGGAACAAAAGTCACTTAACTGGGTGTCGGATTGCTCCATAGGTCTATGCATGCTCTATATACAAGATTAAGAGTTCCAAACCGATCACCAATACTATTTCAAAGCTCTATCCGATCTTGTGTCACCCAAGGAGTTCTAGAGGTTTGAGATAGCTCATGCTTTAGCTATATCATTGGCTTGAATAAATCAACCAATGAGACAAAAAAAAAGAAGTTGTTATGGCCTGTTTTGGCTCTGTTCAACGAGTCATCGTTGTGCAACCTTGGAGACTATCTCGGCTTTACAAAGCTAAGGAAAAATATATGAAAACTAAGCAAAACACAGAACCAAACAATTGTATAACAACATAAAAGTGATTAACGGAAGAACAATCTCTTCAAGTTATTGAAGGCGTACATCGACCATATGTAACATCAACTTTCACATCCTTTTCTTCATTTCTCTTTCTACTTCCTTCGTTATAGACATATATTGGGCTAATTATAGATTACTGTATATAGTTAGACCTTTTTAACATCTCGATCTCTAAACTTAAAAAATTTATATTAAAATCTCTATAGTTATGAAAGTGAAATATCTAACTCTATTTCTCATAACATCGTCAGTTTTACCGATGAAAGCATGAAAATAATGAGCAAAAAGATAATTTTAATGTTCCAATTATATTTTCGATGATGATGAACGATAACGCCATTGGGAGCCATGACAATTACATTGGTACCGATGAAGATGCATAGTGGTTAAAGAGTGATGGTCTACTACGAGCTGGACACAATCTTCTTTTATTGAGCTTGTGACATATCCATCCATGATACCAACTTTCTCATGACTCACCATGTCCGCTAGGTCACTTGTGCCACTTGTACTCCCTCGACACTAGCTGTCGCATCTCTAGTGTAGGTCCCCGATGGCTCCGCCCCCTCTATGCTTCCTACGACTCTGATCTTACCGCTTTCACTTGTTGCTCCATAACCTCCTCGTCCTCTAGAACTTGCCTCTCCACCTTTGAGTCCATAGTGGTGCCTCAGGCAAAGAAGCCTACAAATCCTCAACAAACGACCATGAAGCAACGACGCGGGGTGGTTGAGGAGAGGGTGGAGGCTGTCCTACTTGGCTGGAGCCAAAGGATGGGGTTTCAGAGTGGCTGATGATGTGTGGAAGCGGCGGCTTGCATGGTTGGCTCGCACTAAGGGTGGCCCTCGTTGTCGCATTGTAGTTCACCATCAAGCTGCAGGAGCAGGAAACAACAATGGAAATGGGCAATTAGGCGGCGCTCCAACGACTAGAGGCATGCTCTAGAGTGTCTATGAGGCTAATTGCCATCGCCATATCGCGGATCACCCAAGTCACCGAGTGCAAACCCATAGTGGTCGCCACCTTGTGTTCCCACTTTGTCGCCGTCCATTGAGGATTTACAAGCTTCTTCGCCTAAGGCACGCCGTGGTCTTGGAGGTAGAGAGGTAGGACCTAGAGGGTGAGAAGGCCATGGAGTACAAAGGAGAGGTAGTAGGATTAGGATTGTAAGAAGCATAAAGGGGCGGACCCGCTACGGACCTCCATTGGAGATGTGACAACCAATGTCGGGGGAGTGACAAGCGGCATAGGTGACTTGGCGAGCCATAAGGAAGTTGGTGTTGTGGACAGACGCTTCGCAGGCCCAATAAAGGAAGGTCGCATCTGGCTTGCAACAAACTATCGCCTTTTTACCGCTCTGCATTTGTGTTAATGCCGATGCAGATGCGGAGCGAGGCTGCTCTGCATTCGTGTCGACGCCAACACAATTGTTACGGCCCCTAGTGGCGTTATCGTCCATAACATAATTAGAACATTGAAATTATATTTTTACCTAAGGACGTTAGAAAAAATGGAGTTAGATATTTTACTTTTATAGTTAAGAATTATAATATAAATTTATTAAATTTAAGGAACGTAATACTAATGAGATCTAACTATATGGGATATTATATAATTAGCCCACGTATGTCAGATTACATTCCTTGATTAATACATAAACGTTCATGTACCATTATCATGAACATCCATTCAGAAAACCCACATTAACCACTTTTAACTGTGATTAACATTAATATATTTTTAAAATAAAAAATATCTTTAATGTTTTAACATCATAATTAATACTTCAAGGTTATTGGTAGCATCAAAATTTTAACTAACTAAATGTAGCTAGCAGAATTAAGCTATAATGGCATGCAATTTTTCGGTAGGAATATCTATATACACACCACTTGAACTTAAGAGGATAAGTGCAAAAATCAATAGCTTTTAGGGACACATGTAATTTACATCAAATAAATTTTGCAGATGTACATCACCCTATATTAGAAAGGCAAATGCTTGCAGGATTTTAAACAACTTAAAATAGGTACATACTTCCTGGATTTAACAGATATCCACAATTATGATGTCAAATCTGCTTATGGGAGGGTACCATACTAAGAGGCATATACTCTCGATTGCATATTAGAAAGGATAAGCATGAACAAGTTTCTATATTTGCTTCTTATAGCTCAAATTGGGGTTGATACAACAAGTCTATGATCTTCACCATACAAAACTCATAAACTAAGAAAATGTGCCACCCAAACTCGAGGAATAACCAACACATGAGTTCATTGAAATTACAACGTTACAACCCACCAAATACAAGATGGTTGTAGGGCGGTAGAAATAGAAATTCCAACAGATCACAGAACTTCATACATTTACATTCCAAAGTACACAATTCTCTTGGTATAACAGCTTCTTGAGCCACTGCAGTGTTGGCGAATCATGTATTCTTGTCTCACGTTAAAATGTAGCTACAAAAAGATTCATGAGCAGCGATGCAGTAAAACCCATCATAGAGATGCTTCTGACCAAATTGGATGATGTCTACCCAATTGCAGAACTCAATCACCTAATCAGTCAGATACATAATATGTGAGCTTGTTGTAAAGGCTTCCTGTGGGATTCCTCTGGCAGAAATAATTACATGAGTTACGGAGCCCAACCTCAGAAAACACTTGCTAAGCCTGCAAGAAAGCTTATCCAGTGTACTGGAGTACACCATACAAAATATTTTATATTCAATATAGTTGACCAGCAAAATCAGAAAAAGACTTCTCTCTGAAGCACCTTATAGCCTTTTACAGCCAGTTTGGGGTCTGAGCTTTGTCCGAGATAATATGGGGACCTTGATCATCCACAAGCTTTTCTAACGACCGATACTGCAATTTGACACTCTCAGCATTGTCCAATGTCTTCACGACATACCTGTATATGACAACTTAAATGGGTATCAATTTCACCCATCATTGTAAGCACTTAATTATTTGAAGTAGGCACTCTCACCCATACCAAGCAGTAACTGAAGATAAAGAAAAAAGATCCTTGGATCATTTGTAAAAAAGGCTTGTGCCATGAATTGATTATTGTACCTTTTATTTTCTAAGTCAGAATTAATACTTCCCGGAAGGGACTATACTAGCACTCTACAATTAAAGTTAATAAATATAGTCACTTAAATTATTATCAAGCATTTGAAGAGTCTAATCAATTTGTTCAAGTCTATGATAAGCATGTCCATTGAAGAGTTACAATTCATATTATATGTAGATTATTTCGTGCATATCCTTTTAGATGAACTACATGTTCACCACCAATCAACATAATACACACTATAAAAAGGATGAAGATTAACTCAGATCAGAATTTTATGTATTCTAACAAAGGAAAACATGAGAAGAGCAAAAGGCTTAGCTTTCACATTTGTGTAGCTAGTGTAAACCAGTTTTCACCAGAAACTCATGATTAGTCTTGCTTCCTAGGAAAGGTTTCAAAATATGTGACAAATCCTAAAATTTCTAAAACTAAGAATAGCAACAAAGAAAAGCCTAACACCTATGTGTAGGTCGTCTTCTGAGTATCCTCCTCTCTCCCTCTATCAGCAACATGGTTTTGATCAGCATGAAAAACAGTTAAAAGTATAGATCATTATCATTGATAGTCACCAGAAAGATAATCATAGATCACAAATAATATATTATGATCTACAAAAACAAAGATAACTTCTAAGATAACTGACCATCCATTCAAGCACTGCGTTGTCACAACTGCTACACGACCAACAAACCTTTGTGGAGTCCTCTTGTTCCCCTGAAGAAATTCCTTTTACGTCAAAAATATGAAAATAATGGAGCCCGACAAACCAACTCATGAAACTCCTCATCATCTCACCTTGATAATAACCTTGTCAGATACAGCAAATGGAAATTGAACACCTTTACCACGAGAAAGATCCATGGAAAAAGAATCATTGTGATTGCACTTTTCCTTCATAATCAATAGAAGAAAATATCTTAAAAGGAGGACAGAACATCACGCTATGTGAAATACAATCTAAATCATATAAGATGCACCACTGTACCGAACAAAAATGCCCACCTGCTCAAACCTCTCTCTTTTTCTCTTGGTTGCTTTAAACAAATGCAATTCATCTTCCCTGCGGAATGCCTGAACAGTGGCACGAAGAGCTGAGAAGTGAAATAAGAAATGAGATAGAATGTTGCACGAATTAGCAAGAAGCAAACACAATGTGCACATATCGAACTGCATCTAATCAAATCTAGAAACGAACACCAATATGAAGAAATTACTGGCAGTACTCTGTCAGGAAAAATGTTACAGATACCCTTGTAATTGTTCAGTGAGCTCACCAACAATTCTAGCACATAATATAAATCTGTATGCAATAAATATTTTGGTTGGAATGCACACAAAAGCAGGAAACATCCAAGACCTCAATTTTGGGAAAAAGAAACAATCACATAAGCAGTGGATCACCAATATCTGGTCATATTTACAATGGAAAGTTCTGTAGCTGAAACAAGTACCCATGAGATTTAAGATCAAGTGAACCTGCCATATCTGGTGTGAATGCACTGAATTATCAAATAACTTCTTGGCTTATTGTTTTCTATGTATTAATCCTAATGTAGCTCATCTGTTAAGCCCATATCAGCGATGAACACTAGCAGGTTGGAAGGTTTTCTATCTTTCAAGAGAGATAAAAAAACACTCATCCCTATGTATGTAGAAAGTTGGACTTTGGATTATACTGATTTCTTCATTACATTATCACAAGAAGAAAGTACATTACAGTGAATAAAATTTTAGAAAAAATAACTTACCACCTTAGTTTCATTTTAGTTCCTAACTACTCTTTTCCATAGTAACTCAACAGTTTCTTCATGCTACACTTGTTATTGTAATGTTTGCTTAGTTGTGTTCTTATACAAAGAGAAAGTGGTTACAAATGCAAATATACTGCAGTAAACAAACAAAATTTACCACTTTTAAAAGTTCCCCCTCTGCACTAGCATTGGCTTACTCTTTTCTAATAAATAATTTCGTTAATTTCTTCTATCCATAATATGTTACTCGTTAAAGCAGATGTCTGGCATGAACAAAGGGGCACAAATAGTTATTAGATAACCACAGTGGTGCCAATAGCTTAAATTTGTCCTAGAAATTGCAAAACATTTTATTGTTATTAAAAGGAAAGGTAAGTATGACAAAGTGCTTCATAAACACAATAGAAAGAACAAGAAAACTTTAAGCTGCACTGTTGAGGGTTGGCTACACAAATCCTTTCTGACCACCTACTCACTTTTAAAGATACATGTTCAAATTTAGACGGGTTGGACAAGATTTTGTGGGTACAGACTGAGTGGAATACAACTTTCCAACAATCTCACCAAGTATGGTATCAATTGCATAGGTTTCCCAATAAAAATAATGAAGTGTCGCATAAGTTGCCCATGAAATTTTGTGGAACAAATGTTCAACAAGGCATATGGTCCACCTGCATTACAGCATAAATTATTTGTCTTATTTCCATTTAAGAATAATGGAAAATAAATGAAGTGCTGCATAAGTTGACCATGAAATTTCCTGGTATGGTCCACCGACAATTTGGCATGAATTGTTTGTTTAATTTTCATTTAATGACAATGTGTATCAGAGCTCTATCTTCTGTTAATGTATATCAACTAAGGTTTTTAATATCAGAAATGGTATACTTACTGGAACCTTATTGGACCAATTCACACTGATGGTACAAGATGCCTCCTCGGTACACCAATAGGAAATATACTCAAAAAGTGTTCCATATATATTGGTCCAGATGGTCAGATGGTACACTGGTACTATAACAGAGTGGTAGGATACGATTGATATCTTGTGGTATTGAAAAACACAGCATAAAAAAACAAAAAATTGTGGATCAATTTCTGTAGGTATTCGAAAAATCCAATTACTCTTTTGCAGGATGAAATTAGCCAAGTTATAGCAGTCGTATGAAATTACACTCAAACAAGCCCCAGAAAATGGTAAGCTCGGTAAAAGATATGCTTATGAAAATTAATAATATTTGCTATTATAAGCCTAATTTTCAGCCACCAATTGTTCATATTGAAAAGGTCAATAGATATGTGACATCATGGTGCCTTCTACAAAAATTAGCCAAATAATCTAGGGCCTAAAGAAAGTTAACTCTTCAGTTTTATTCTCAAGTAATCTTCCACATAGCTTAAAAGTACTCCCTTGTCAGGAAGGAAATTGCTCAAGTTACAAATACAAAAGAAAATAAGATTGAAAGCCAAAGTTCAGTCATACGAAGTTTCCTTGTGCATGAATCAAGTGAAGAAATAATGAAACATACAGGAGTTACAATGCAAAAATTCAGCTGACAAAAGACCCTTCCTTTGGTCAGAAATCATCTTCTCTAGTTCCAGCCATAGTTTAGAACATTCTGCACAAATTTGCACTAGTCACTTTTCCAGGCCACAGAGCACTTGAATGGATCCGTTTATAGGTCCCACTGTGTAGACCACGTGAAACAAAGATCAAACTAGATGAGTGAAGACCCAATCAAGTCCCTGTTAGCCTACCTGCCTGGGGATTTCCTAGTACCATTAAGAGACCTTTGGAATCATAGTAGGAGAAGGAGCTTACACTTTTCCTAGTGTAATTAGCAAAACTAATCCAGCATATACTAAAACTAGCTTTAGTTGTTTTAAAGAAATAATCCTAGTTGGTTTAAAATAGGAGAGGGACAAGGAAGTGTTTATACATGACATCGTTAGTCCCTAGAATCAATGACAGTTGATATCTCAATGCTACCTCTCTATATTTCTTAAGAGACCTTCTCTGTCTCTCATCCATCCTTTTCTAATTTCGCTTGAAGGGATCTTTCTTCCCTTGACGAAAAAAGTTCGTCCATAGGAGGAAAATCCTACGAATTTGTGATAAAATTATTATCCTTAAATTGATAATGTCAAAACCAAATATGATACTAAAGCTAGCTCAAAATACTAGTCCCAGACAGTGATTTAAAAAGCATTAGGCGCCAAAAGGCACCAATGTCCAAAAACGCCTGAGGCGCTAGGCGCTCGCTCGAGCGAAGCGAGACGCTAAAATATAAAAGTATATAATATAATTAATAAATATACTTAGTTAAATAAAAATTAATAATATTAAAATCAAAATAATATATTATTAATCTAATAAATAAAAAATATTGTTATTAGTATACAGTTAACAGTATACTGTTAATGTACTGTTAATAGTATACTATCGAGTCGATGTGAGAAGAGGTAGCAACGAGCAACGGCAACGGGAGTGGGAGCGGGAGAGGCGAGCGGCGACAGTGGCAGCAGCGAGAAGTGGCAACGGCAGCAACAACGAGAGCGGCGAGCGACGACAATGCCAGCGACAGCGACAGCGGTAGCAACGAGCAGTGGGAGCAATGAGCGATGATAGTGGCTGCAACAGCGACAGTGTCAGTGGCAGCGACGAGCGGGCTTAGGGTTAGGAAGTCGCAAGAGGAAGGCTGATATCGGTGCTTTAGTTGGTTCGATTGAACCAACTAAAGCACCGAAGACCAAACTAGACCTAAAACGCTGGTTCGGTCACCTAGTTTAACCCAGGCACTCGCCCGAAGCGCAAAACGCCTCTTTGAAGCGCACTGCCTAGAAATGAAGCGAGGCACTCGGGCCTCGCCTCGTCCGAGCGCCTAGGCAAGCGCCCAAGCGCCTATTGAAATCACTAGTCCCAAGTTCCATGTTCCATCTATTGTTGGTTACATTTAGTAAAGTTCAATTGAGCTGAAACTTGTGCATTAATGGCTTATCAAGGTGGGTTGTACCGACCGAATTCTAACATTCGAACTGTAACTATGGCCATAACTAATTCCGGCTTCATATTAAATTTAATAAATATATGATATAGAAAAGTTGCACTACCAGTGGAAACAGAACCAGGAAACAATGTCATAGATTGTTACAGATGCAAGTAATGATTGACAAATTGTAACGCCCCATGCATATTGCAACAACATATAAAGGAAATATATGACATGTGAGTATAGCTCAAAATAAAAAAACATGAACACAGTAAATGTGACAGAAGCATAAGAATCAGCATTTCCTTTGGTTAATATTTCTTAATATAAAGCATCAATTAGAATCTTACTCAAGTTTGGTCGGACAGAGTATTCTGATATAGGCTGAGTACATGTGTAACAAGCTTTCTGCATATAGAATCAAGGAAAAAGCTTTTAAAATAATAATCATTTTTCACAAACAACTAACATGAACTTTATAGTATTAGCTTATAATAGGACCAAAATGATGCAGTGTACTCTCTTATTATCACATTAAACATTACACAAAAATCTGCAAAAGTAGCTAGGTAAAGGATCAAATTGTGGTGCTCAACTAATTAGATAATTTAAAAAAAAATAAATTGCCAAAAATTGTCTTTAGCAGTTTCAAAAACCTATGGTACAGCATAAAATAATTTAAGATTCACTATGCACATGAATGCCCAATTTCTTGCCATTGCCAACTCAGACTCAAAAGTTGAAATATCAAAAGATCCACAAAGAAAGTATTTGTATTCCTATACTATTAAGATAGTGTAGGAAGGATAATAGTTATTCTAGATTACGAGTAGAATTCAGTATTTTAAGTACAAAATTCTCAAGACACCAATAGTTCAAGTCTTCAAGAATTCAGGAACATAATTTTAAAAAATAGTAATGATTTAGTTTAATGGCAGGATTCAGTTTTTTGTGCAAATTCTCAGAAATGGAGTTATATCAAAATGTTTTCCAGCTGTTTACAATTCACAGAAAGAACTACCAACAACATCATGCCATAATGGTGCCATTTAGTTTTGAATAAGGCAATATCAATAATTAAATTAAGAGCTCTTAAATCTTTATTTATATTTTATAGTTTCTAATAAAGTCTTCTTAAGTCTCCCTCTTACCTCTCGCAACACCACTAGTACTAATGTGTCACCTCTTCTAACGACAACATCTATTGACCTCCGTAACACATTAACACATGTCCATACCATCATGGTTGATACATTAGGCTCACAGGCACATCAAAATCGAGCCTGACAACGTGCCTAGGTGTGCTTCAGGCCAAACGCAAGGTGCACGCATCAGGTTCTTAGGCACATTTGGGTTTGTTGGCGCATCAAGTCTGACCGTGTGCTAAGGTGTATTTTGAGTTTTAGTAGGTTTAGCAAGCGGCAAGTTGGGCTAGGCTCGAGCGCGCAAGTGGGCATTAGGTTCACATGTGCATCGAATCAGGGATGAGCCCGACCATTGAGGCCTATGCATGGATGACGTAGCTTGCATCAAACCATTCAAGCTTGGGATGGCCCAAGGGAGCATTGAGAAATATAAGTTTTGTGAATGAGTAAACATCTAGGCCTTCAGGAATATTGAAGGAATGTCCTTCTAGTAACAAATGTATGGATCACAACCTAAATTTGGTCAAATTATCTAGGCCCAACCATTAAGACAAATACGAAAAGAAACCAGCTTGCTGAAAAATGGAAAAAAAATCACATTTTCTCCACAAACAAACAGTTATGGTGGTAGTATATACAACGATAAAGTGACCCTGAACTTACCATTTTATAAACATGTTGCATTCCACTACTTCCAAAAGAATGCCCACATGACAGTATCATTGCATCATCCATGAGAGTTCCCCTACAGGCAGCAGAAAAAATAAATGAATAAAACAAAAGGTAGCAACCAGTCTTGGTAGCATACACATTTGCTAGCTGATGCGCAATAAATTACTCATGACAACATTACAATATTTTTAGCATATGTCTAAATACTTAAACAGAAGGTTTTCTAAAAAGTCCTTTGGTACAGTACATCTAGAAATAAAGTAACACTTCTTCTGTGTAAGGGTGAAAACACAAAAAACCATACCTATATTTTTCTTAATATCTAGATATGTTAGTCAAATTGCCAAAAGATATTAATATAGACCACCAACTTTATCGAATCATGCAGTGAACACGAGAAAAATTCACAGCAGAAACCCAAATGGATCTGATAAGGCTGGTGAGTTCTAGTTGAATTTAAGGAGGCAAAGTGAGCTGTTGGCGAGTGAAGTTTTAATAAGCTTTTATTCTTTTTGATAAGTCTGGTAAAAGAATTCTAGTGAGATCTGAGAAGAAAAAATGAATCATTGGCTGGTGAAGTTCTATTCATCTGTTATGCCTTTTAATAGAATAGAGAGAAGAAACAAAAAAAGGAGTGTTGTCTAGATAACATATCTACCATGCCAACCACACCACGTTACAAAGGCAGCATATATAGGTGACAATGTCCAAGATATACTGGCCGGCAAAGCCCCATGTTGCAGGAGGCGCCAGGCATATAACATGTTGGGAAGTGAATAAATGATCTAATCTATTTCACCAATTAATCACGCAAATTACTGAATTAACTAACAATCAAATTATGGCTAGACTGCACAGTATGCAGTTCAAGGACCAAACTGAAACTCATTTTATCGTAATTAATACATGATTGTTCCATTGATGGAATCTAAAGTATCTCTCATATTGCAATGTGGGGTCACTTAGATTTATTACAAAAGCAATGGCAGGGTCTTCAGTTAACTATAATGTATAAAAGCGCTACTTAGATGGGCCGAATCACTCTGAATTTTTCAGGATTGATGCGGTCTCTCACATACCTTATTTGTCTGTCTACATACATAGGCCCCACTCACCCAATCTATGAAAGATGACATCAACCTTAACAATTTTCAGGGGTAGTTTGGTCCACCTATATAGCATAGTCCATCCGCGAAAAAAAAAGAGAGTCAAATTTAAGCACTGCCACAATCAAAATAGTTAATTTAGCTTTATGTTTCAACTCCTAAATAAAAACGGCCATGTGTCAATGTCAAATTTTTTTGATAATTTTCTATGATTTTTTGTTAAGGGTTTAATGGCCAATAAGGAGCTTAAATTAATGAATTAAAAAAATATGGTGATTTGCTCATTGTGAGGCTCAATTTTCCATTAGTTTCTTGGTTTCGTTGGCCAGTGAGTTATAAACAAGTTTTAATAAGTTTGTCCAGTGTAACCTTTGGTCAGCAAGTTTATATAAACCAAAAAGCAACAAACAATTTGAAAAAGTGCAAAAATCACGATTTGGGAGTAAGCCCATAGACTAGCTGATTATCGTAGCAGAACAATAAAAGCACTTTGAAGAACAGAGGCATTAGGAACAAAACCAAGAAACTAATGGAAAATTGAGATTTGACAAAAAGGGAAAGAAACTATAGACTCACGTTATAGGATCTGATAGTTGTGTCCTCAAAGTCTCCCAGTACCCAGCAGCTAACCCGACCTCCCTTCTTCCATTGAACCCACAACCATTCTCCCCTCTGAGCTCCTTATGATGAGAGGACTCATCTGCCCCATGTAAAACATGAGTGAAATATGGCTCAGGTTCCATGACCACAACAGCATTCTCGCAGCCATCCATCCGGCCCTCCTGGTATTGTTGCTCCACCAAGCCCCCTCTCCCTCCAAGTCCATCCTTCAGCAAGACTCCTCTACTAGATCCTAGACACCAACTCATCCACAATTAAGAATGGGAACATAACACAAAGATTTGATTAAAAAAAAAAGGTGGGGATTTTCTTTTGCGCTTTACCAAAAGATGAGTGATGCTCCTGCGAAATGGCCCGCTCATCGCAGATCTTCTCCGAGCTACTCTGTACACTACCGCTACTATTGTAGTTAACCTTATTGTTACCTTCTTCCAAGGACACCAAGCCATCTCCGTCATCAACATCCTCGTCGTCATCATCGCCATCTTCCTCGTCGTCCTCTTCATCCTCGCCGTGGGGCCCGTCGCCGCTATGCGACCCGCCGTCCACCAAGCCGCCCCAGCTCTGACCCGGCGGAGGGGGGCGGTGTAGGTCACGGTAAAATCGAGCGTCGCGTTCGCCGGAGAAAATCTTATCGCCGTCTGCGCCGGGGAACCCGGCAGGCCTCACGGTTCGCTGACCCGACGGCTCCCCGTCGCCGCGGGAGAAAGGGAAGGACTCGCCCTGGAAGACCATCCCGGAGGCGATGCCGTTCTCAGACGCCATGGGGGGTGGGAAACCCTAGCTACAGCACATCGGATCCCATCAAGAATCCAACGAAAAATCGCGCCCTGGGAGAGGATTTGGGATCGGGAACGAGCGTTTAGGGGAAGAACCGAACATTGCAGCGGATTGGATGAAGGGTTGTTCCACTGTTGGGGATCGAAAGCGGCAGCAGTCGTCGTCATAGGTGCCTTAATATTCGCACAAAAAGATCATGACCGTTTATGAGGTACGGTATTTCGATAGGTAAATGGCCGGTTCAGGGAGTTCGTAAACACGCATTTTGAACCGGTTCATCCCATAAACCTAATTCGAACCGATTTAATTGGAAAAACTCACGATTCTTTCTTCCAAAACTAAGAAGAGGCGAGTAGATCCATCGGACGTTAAAAATTCATCAGTAAAGAATATTAAACTACTGTAGATAGGAGAAGATCTCCATGTCAAAAAGATCAACAATCAAATATAAATCGCAAAGTGGATATAAGATTTACTAGATTTGATATTTTTACCTTTATTGATCAAGAAGATCCAATTATTCATTTACATATAACCCTAACCCTAACTAGAGGTTAATATTTGCTATATAATTTTTCACATCAAATCTCAAGAACTGTATTCTCAAGTTCTATAGGCACAATATTTATAGAATAAATATATCATAATTTTTAAAATATTCTTGTTATAGTTGAATTCTTAATGTCAAGTAGTCTGAATCTAATTAGATTTCTAAAAATACTCGACTAGTCTTATTTTTATAAATAATATAGTTGACTTTATATAATTTGAGATTTTCTTTTTTTCGAAGGATAAGTGACGAATGCGTTAAGATCTTTATCAGCTAAACTAGTTGACGCAGTCATTTGAGACAATTTATACTTAGATGTAATATTGATTTCTAAATTATTTTTCAAGTATCATAAGCTGGATGATATGGAATAAATGTTGAAGGTATAAATATCCTCAACAGACGTGGATGCCTCATCCAATTTGGTATGCAAAATCTCTAAAACACAAGAAGAAGATGATTAAGTTTGGTGATGTATACATATATCTGTATATATTGATTTGGTGGAAAACTTTGGGTTTTGAGGTTGGTGATGATGATAATGAAACAGCAGATGGGAAGGGAATGACATCCTGAAGATTCCCAATTAAATAGAGATGCTATATGTGTCCTAATAACTTAGACCGCTAATGCATACACATCACTTGTAAGGGTTCATTCAATACTAATTTCATATATTCCACTTGTCGTGTAAGAAAACTAATCCAAGAAAACAATGTTATCCCATTATATTCAACACAATTCGTATGCAAAACCACAAGATTTTCTAACATTATCTAACGAGCAATTGCCACAAATTATGTAAAGTCAACTGGATTGCTTATTCCGGGATCGAGTTTGAGGTAGAAAACTAAGACTTCCAAGCTTACATCCTGAATCTAGTGGCATTTCCACAACATGTTTGCCATGGAAACGATGAGATCATTATTCTGTGGATACCATGTCATTGTTCGCCGAGCGCTCTATAAATAGCAGCGTTGGCCGAGACATTCTTCGTGCTCATATCTTAGTCGATCCAACACGTTCTTCACAGTCAAGAAGAGAAGGAGAAAGATGTCTTGCGGAGGAAACTGCACCTGTGGTTCCAGCTGCAACTGCGGTGGAGGGTACTCATCGACTGGAACTTGCTATATATGTTCTCTTTTTCTTGGCTCTTTCTTTGGTTCATTTCAGCCTTGACAAGTAGCAGAAGATTGTGGTCTTGATAATTTCTTATGTGTAAATGACTACTATTGTTTCTTGTTCTGGGAGTAGATGCAAGATGTATCCTGACCTGGAAGAGAAGAAGACCACTATGGCGACCGTGATCCTTGGGGTTGCACCTGAGAAGGGGTATGTTAACTGACTTGTACTCTATCAGTACTCTTTACTCGTGGATGAGCTTGAGAGAAGAAGAAAAAGGCAAAGCTCCCCCTATAAGGAATCATTCACCAAGATTGTCTGAACTGTGCAGCCACTTTGAAGGGTTTCAGATGGCTACTGGGAGTACTGAGAATGGAGGATGCAAGTGTGGTGGTGGCTGCAACTGTGATCCCTGCAACTGCTAAGTGATCCAAGGAAGGGGATGGCTTGTCAAACAATAACGAAGTCCTACAAGGACAGTGTGTGGGTATGCATGGAGTGTTACCTGTGTGATGTGTCTGAGTGCTACAAATAAAGGCCATGGTGACTTCTATGTGTGGCCATTTGGAAGGTCTTCTTGTACTTGCATTCCTACTATATATGGTGTTTATCTTTGCAGGTTATTACTAGACATGTCTTCCTCTCAATCTTACTTGGAATTAGATCCTAACACAACCAAAATAATCTTCTTATGGGCTCAGATCAATGAACATTCTTCTTGGAAAGTTGAGAAGACATGGTTTTGTATCAGATATATGATACCTTGCAATAAGCAGCATAGGAAGTAACATACATCAGAACAATTCAAATAATAATGCATATACGCTAGTAAGGTTAAGGCAAGATCACAAATGAAACATGTATCCAATCATCTTGCCTAATAAATATCTCTTGTTTGTGTTTACATCCACATGAAAATAAATTTGTAAATCAAGGGCGAGCTTGAAAAATTCTATATATAATTTTCTTTCCCGTTAAAATCAAATTTCGATAAATTCGGACTCCTCGAGTAAACAATATTGGACAAAGCTATTCACCATTTTATTTTCATTAATGTGATACCAGGACTTTTTAGGTCAAAATGTTGGCTAATTAATTCTACTTATTTGATGCTTCCACTTTAAGATGGAAGAGGATTAGGACCACCATCCTGTCTTTATTGGTTCCAATTTTGGCTCTAAAAACCATATGGAAAGATCATTTTCATGGTTAGTGCTTCTTTGATCAGTAAGTGCATGCACTGTGTAGATTAATTGATTGGTGGAGAGACAATGATATTAAACTCAGCTCAGTTGACTTGTCATACATGAACTGATGCATCAATGGTCTTTCAAGCACATGGTGGAACAAAATAATTAGATTGATCAGATAGATTTAGCTACTGCTTTTGATCTTCCACTGGTTTTAATCCATCCACCTCTAGGGTGGAAAGCCCCCAGCAGAGCCATAGGACTAACCTAGTCATCGGATCGACAAGGTTGTTGGATCATTCGTTCTTTGATTCGATCGAATTCATTTGAATTTCTCTTCTATTTCTTTAGGTGAAAATTCTGATAGTTGAAGCTGCTGTTAAATCACACTCAAAATAAAGCTCATTAATTATTGAGCTGTTAGCTGCACCATCATTTTCATCATTGTCCCTTTTCAAGTCCTCCATTTAAGCTTCCATCTTCATTGACATTTTGATATACAAAGCTATTTTAATTGTATCAGCCTTGATTTGGTACCAAATTATTATCATATTTGTTTGGTGGTTCTTCTCTTTTGATGATTCAAAAGTCATGTATTTATAATTGGGCTTCTTTTTCGAATGAACTGATTATCTTTATTATTCTATTTATTTTGTTATTCAGAATCACACAAAAAAAAAAAGTGGTGAAGGCATGAAAGAGGGTTTTCAAACCCAAGATTTCTACCAACTAAATTAATAATAACCTCTAAAAAATCAATATAAGAATTTAAACCCTCAGTAAATTAATCAATTCAGATACCTTTGTTTTTTGGGTGACTCTACTGGAAATCCAATTCATTTTGTTGTAGCTTTTCTACATGAATTTAGATTTATTTGTTTGTTTGTTTTATAGATCATCTCAGACCAACAGCAAAAAAGTTCGATTGTTAAGTCAACATTGAAATCGAATTATAAAAATAGTAATGGTATTGGAACCTTCACACAAGCAATCAACATAGTTCATAACCATCACATATAAGTACAGGTAGAACATTCAACAGCCATGGCAGCAACTGATACAGGGAGATCATTTCATGGAATATATGCCACTATGGCCTTTGTTTTATTGCACTCAGACGACCTAAGAAGACATCACACAGGTAAAACACCACACCCACACATCACAGTCCACCTAGGGTTTTATTCTTTGATGAGACATCACACTTAGCAGTTGCAGGGGTTGCAGGAGCAGCTAGATCCACACTTGCAACCTTCATTCTCTGATGCAGCAGCCATCTCTGGTCCTTGGACGTGTCTGCAATGTTCAACCGATCTCACTATCTCATGGCAAATGAAACAAACAAGATGTATCCAAAAGAAACAATCATGTTATGCCAACATACTCCTTCTCAGGTGCAACCCCAAGGATCATGGTCTCAGAGTTGACCATCTTCTCGTCCAAATCAGCGTACTTCTTGCACCTACACCAGAGGAAGACACAAAAGATGATGCTCCTTGTGAAAACCCTTTGAATCATACCGACTGTAACACACAGTAAGATCTTCGAAAGAAGAGGAAGAACATGGTGAGCAAGAACAGGAATTCAGTGACGCGGAGATAGAGAGTTGAAATACCCTCCGCCGCAGCTGCAGCCGGATCCACAATTGCAGTTTCCTCCACAGGAAGACATCTTTCTTCTCCTCCTCTTGAGATGCTACGAAGAATATTAACTGCGAAGATGTATTGCACACCATCCATCGTGTCAAATGGCACTATATATAGAGAGAGAAAGAAGGCTCGGCCAAGAATGATGCAGTATCCACCGTCCTCACGAAACCTGCCATTGTGATTGTCAACTTCCTCTCCCCCCACGTAATCATAATAATAATAATAATAATAACATCGCAGTCTTCTCATCAGCCATGTCTAGAATTATAATTTTATAGTGCACGTATTTAGGTGATGTGTGAGACCAAATAATGTCTTCCATTTTATTTATATATTTTGTGATGCAAGCCCGCATCACAATAGCTTTCTGGATAAGCACGCCATCGACTTTGTATATGTTGGTGGGAATCCTTTGTGTTTTGTGGTTTGGTTGTCGACTTTTGATTTGGTCCGATAGGATAACATTGTTTTTTTGGATCAATTGTTTTCTTATATGGCAGTCGCCAGCTCCAAATATAAATAAATGCATCCGATTTGACGTTAATTATTATTATGTGACTATCGATGATGCCTACTCTTCTCTAGCGTTAAAACCTAATGTTCAGACAAATGACTATAACACATTTCTATTAGATTCAACCATACGCGTAGCATAAGTTGAGCTCTTGTTTCTTAAGCTGATGGGACCAAAACGCCGGGTTAACAAAGATGCCTTGGTTGCCAATAACAAGGCAGAGGAAACCCTGCAGCTGAGAGAGCCTCGGGAGTGGATGCTTAAGTAACGAAATGGATCATGTCTCATACATTCTAACAGTAAATTAAATCGTGAAGCCGGCAAAACGTAACATCATTTATACTTCTACAGGTTAAGAAAAGACGATGCAATCAATAAAATAAAAAGATAATGAAGATTTTAACTGCAGTATACAAAGTTCCACAGGGCCAAGAGAAACTAAATGGCCTGCAGGCATTCTCACAACTCATCATCTTATCAGTATGGAGGTGAATACCATCTGCTTCGATGCACCGACAAACACATCACATCCGGTTTTCACAAACAAACAACTTTAAGGGTCGATCACTAAATTTAACAGATACCACTGGTTCTACCAAAATTTCTCAAATGTTACTCAAAAACATCCCTCCAAGGGGGAAAAAAAATCACGTTTAGTAGAAAAAACCAAGCACTTTACCACCAACATTCTTTCTCCTTGCTTCTACGTGGTCCGTTATGCCAGCAGATGTGGTCAGAACAATATAACCAAACTGCAGAAAGAAGCACTGTTATTCTTCATCTGATATGGCAGAACACTAAAGAGCCAATTGCAACAAAATTCTCAGCTGGTTGAGTGTTAGAAACGAAAACCAACTTACCTGACGTGATGGGAGCAGTCTGGCAGTCCAAGGCTGAATTTCTTTGATGCCAACATCGGAGCGTGGGCTAATAACACCACATTTGTTCAATCTCCCGTTCAACTAGACCACAATCTTACCAGCTCTGTGATCATCCACGTATTCAAATGCACCGATATAACCTATAAAACATCACATTTGGACAAATTAGCAAGACCTAAACCTTGTCATATAAAAGACAAACAGATTGTGAATTAACCATGCTTCTGCATGACAAGAAGGAACTTGATTATAACTTTCGATGATGGTCGAATCATGACCTGCTGCTTCCCATGCTTGTCAGCATTGTACATGCTCTTGAGAGCATCATTCAAGACACTGATTCTCACCATCCTTATCAAGCCTGCAAAAAAGCAAAACGACAGTAGATAATTGAGTTTGAAACTCACAATACAGCTACAAAATCTCCAATGACCAAACACAATAAGATGAGCTGTTGTAGTTTGCTATTATCATTCAGCTAAAACTACAGAAGCAGCAGAGATATAAATTCAAATATGGAGAGTCAGTGAGTCACAGAGTAACTTAAAGCTTGTGGTTAAAAAGTATATCACAGTGCATGAAGACCCTAAAGACGATATTGATCAAAACTGGTTATGAGGAACTTCAAAAAAAATCAGAACATGCATACACAGAAGGCATGCGTGCTTGGATAAAAAATTTAGTCCATTAAAATATGCAATGTAATCCAGACAAATATTACAAAGAACACCAGGTTTAAAAAAAGACAGTAGCTTTTAGTCCTAAATATATCTCAATAGTAGCTGTAAAGTCAAATGATGCTGTGCCCAAACATCATGCAAAAGCAACTTCACCTTTCAAAGATTACTCATACTAGCAAGCTAATAATGATCATCAAATTAATCATAAAGGATTGACCGTCTAAGACAGACAACTACATCATAGTGAAGATTTGACCATAACCCTCGAACTCTCAGCCTGACCAAAAACTCCCCCAGAGGTAATAATTAATCATCAACGATGTAAAAATCAGGCAAGAAATCACTCGGAAACTAACATAACAGGCTAGTTAGCAGATAGAGAGCTCTAACTGACTGTATTTTAAGCTCAAGTAAAAACAAGCAGACCTTCAAAATTCCACCAAACTTGTTAACAATCTAGGACAAGGGAAAAAAAGTGTGGCATGTGAAGTGAATACCATGTCGATAGCACAAATTCTAGCTAGCAGCTCTCATAACTGATGAGACATTATGAAGAAACATATTTCAGCACAAAGATTTAAATACCTACCAACCAGGTATTTACTAGTCCAACCAAATGCTGTTCTTGAAATGCATAGATCGACAATATTTCATATGTTTTATTTTTATTTTTGTAGTTATTTCTTTGATTTAAAAACACATCAAATCATTTATAAATAAAAGGAAAAATAATTAATAATTTAAAATTGTTATTTTTGGCATCTGAATAGTCATTCATCACATTAATATTCTTGTTCAGTATGGTGAATAATTATTTTAATAAAATGAATAATTTTAACTATAAAATATTTTTGATTACTTTTACTGTTATCTTTTTATAAAGTTTTTGATATTTTACATTTTGATTTTATTTCTGTTAGAAAATCAATTAATTAACATATAAAAGGATTTATTTATATTATTTTCTTACATTTTTGTGATTTATTATCTTTTTCTCTCGTACAGATTCGTGTCCTGCCAATCTTGATTTTGTCATCCATAGCTAATCCCAATTTTGATACCAATCTTGCAAAATATAAAGTGAAACAGATCGTCTCCTCCTCTATAGAAAGGCTACGATTGATTTAATTTTAAAATCAAATTAAACTAAAATTTTATAATAAGGTTATTCCACCACTTACATCACACACTTGGTATAACATATTGTTTGCAAACAAGAACTTTCAACCTGTAAACATGACTGACCTCATGGTTTCCTACTGAAGATTCACTTTCAGGGGACACATTTATTTGCTGTACGGCAGACGATCAACGAATCAAACCTTAGACAATATGAAACTCATGACACAGCACAATAACATAAATCAAGAAACGCCGAGGCACATCACAAGCTGCAAAAGCATTTTGTTAGATTTCAACATCATTTTGTTACAAAGAAACCGCACCCAAGGATGTATTCATTCCCAACAACATGCGTGTTAGCATTGAATTCCCATAACAATTCATGTGCATACTGACAGCACCAAGCTACATTAGAAAAGGAAGAAGCCAGTGCACGAGGCTCCCATCAATGCAGAGTCTCCTCTGGAGGGTTGATATATGCAGTATTACCCCATATACAGAGGGAATATTTCCATTAAGCACCAAGCTAATGACACACAAAAATAAAATTCGATAGACACTGAATTAATAGCAAACATACACATCAATATTTATGAGCATCAAAGCTTTGGTTACGGTATCACATTAGCACATTACAAGCTCGTACAAGTCAGTTGATCCACAACGTTAGATAACAAGGAAGGAGCAAACAACTTCTTTCATCAACAGTAAGAACTGGTAAATTTTCGTTAACGAATTAAAAACAGATCAAACCAGCATAGCCGACCGAAAGAGATCGCACGGAAGAGGCGGAGGGAAAGAGATCGCACCTGAGTCGACGAGGCGGGAAAACCCTAAATCTCTGAGAGAGGAGACGGACGCGACTTGAAAAGGCTTCGGGATCGATTCCAAGAGACCAGATCTGGAGTTTCTAAGGCCGTCAGATTCCGATCAAACGACGCTACGGGCGTGAGGAGAATGAGCCTTCGTTCTTGCCCTAGCCTTTGTTCTCCAATGGTCTTCGAAACAGGATACAGCGTGAATCCGCAATTCCAATAAGGACACGTATCTCCGTTTTGTTTGTTATATTCACTTTCATTTCTTATATATATA